GGTCTGATTAACGTGTGGATGACGGGGTTGGGGGTCTGATTAACGTGTGGATGACGGGGGTGGGGGTCTGATTAACGTGTGGATGACACAAACTATTGCCTCAGAGCAGTTGCTTTTGATTTCGGTGTTTGGGATTTGACAGCTTCGCCATGAATGTTTGTTAGTTGGTAACCCACGAAATAAAGGTCATTGTCTGTCAATGTCTCCGCTAGGCCGGGGTCGAACCCTTGATCTTATGGCATGAGCTTTAGAGAAATTCTCCCTAGCTGAGTCGGTAAGAAGCAGCTAGTATTACAAGGGTGACATACTCACTCTCCAGAAAAGAACTTGTCCCAAGTTTTCCAGGGATCATACATAGCGATTCTTTTGAAAGTTATCGCTGGATATTTTTGTCCCTAGGTGGGCGACAATGTAACAAAGATCACTTAGATAGCAATCTAATTCCGTACAGATAACTAATTTTCAATGTTCCACTGAGAGTTGAATTCGGGACCTCTTGTATCAGAGACGTATTATAGTATTTTATACATCTCTGGCCGAATGAGCTAGCGAGAAATTCTCCCTAATGACAGAATAGATGATTTTTTTTCATAAAAAATATATTGCATGGCAAAGATGATTTACTATTTATATAATCGTTCACGTGGACTTGAGAATTTGTTACAATTTTACACGTTTTAGGTGTTCAGATCGATTTTCGATTAGACTGCCACCCAAACGATGATAAAATACGACTATATTAATTATGATCAATGGGGTGGCATTTTTACTAAAAATTGATCTGAACCCCTAAAACGTGTAAAATTCCTCTAAACACCTTAGCTTAGGTCCAAATATAGCTGTAACAAATGAGCAAGTCCACATATAATCGTTGTGTATAACAGAATTGTGTTGTTTGTGGGGATTCAGATAAATTACTAGAGAATTGTGTGCGTGTTCAGCGACATATGGGCCTTATATAACGTCTCTGTGTGTCTGCATGTGAAATAACATCGCTCAATTTACATGAAAAATATCTTTAACATTTAATCTTCATTTATCAGAAAATTAAACATATCTTTTTCTTTCTCTTTGCATAAGAGAATTATTTAATTGCAATGGATAAAGGATTGCAAACTGCGTTTACCATGAATTCCGTGGCATTACTGAAAAATCATTCATTAACTTTTGTTTTTCGTATACCTCGTTTCGGATACACATTTTTGTGTTTTTACACTAAAATCACAGACTTAGATAGCAAATATAATTCCGTGCTAAAACAATGGTATTTATTGTATTTTTTGAATCCATCTATTTATTTTCATTAAGGTCATTATAACTAATACACTAATAATTATAATTATAACTAATAGTTATACACTGTTTCCAATGCGTAGCCTTAGTTTTCGGCAGTGGTACGATTACAATAAATATATGTCTCGGGGTTAATTAGCAATCTGTTCAGGTAGGAGCAAAGGAATTCAGAAGAAAAAAAATGCTTATTATTATATTACATCACACATTGACAGGTTCATGTGTTTGTCAGATTAATTAAGAAAGGGCATAATATAGGTTTAAGCGCCATAATCTGAAATTCTCTCAACGAACCAGTTCAGGTCAATTTGCGTGTGCGAAGTAATATATATACAATATGCCAACTTCCTCTTCCGGCTCAACCTAGGGTGAGAATGTGTACATATTTATCATGCCTACAAAATCCCTCTGAATCTCCGTCATCTGTAAATATATCAAACTGTTTTCATCATTATAAATAAATTTGAACTTTCATCTCACTGTTTTCATCATTATCACACACTATAACGACCGATTCCCTTCACAAATATGATCTTGGACATTGAGTGAAACCGATGTTTTTACCCGTAAATCGAACCTGTGTTGACCCGTCGGGATAGTTGAAATTTACTGTAATGGGTTTATGATAAACGTCTTGCCAAAGGAAATACTTTTTAACGTTTGACTGCCGACTGGTGTGATACTGGCCTTGCCATGGTGTCGTTTTCGTTTCATGTCGACAGCACTTTTTCACACAAGTCGTTGCAAGTGATTGGCATCGGTTATTATCTAAAATTTTACATTGGAGTAATTATAAACGTGGTTCTAAGTTTCAAAATGTGGTCGGTTTTCGTTAAGCCGTGGTGTCTGGTGAGCAGTTATTTTTTTATATGAATATGCTACAGGGTTTGTTTATAGTTGGTATAATAATAAATGCGGAAGAAACCATGCTGTCCCCTCCCGAACCCCGAAAATATGAATAGCTGTCCCTAAACATTTGGATATATTAACTTCAACAGGATACTCTAAAACGTTCAATATACTGAACATTATTTAGAAGCGTCAGAGAGATAGGTTAAAAACAAGTATTTTTATTTTTAGAATTATATGATAGAAACAACATATACGGTTTGAATTTGTGAGAGAGGAGATTTGCCTTCAGTCATATCAAGTAAATGGCAACAAAACCTGTGGTTACAGAAAGTTTAATTTCTTCTACAATCAGTTCATCATCTTTTTAACTCGTTCACTGCTGAAATTTAAAGACACATTTGAACTCTTATAATTCAAAATGTCCGGGGTTAAAGACTTTATGTTGAAAAAACATCTGTCTTGTAGACAACATATGTGGTCATCAGGAGTCATCCATATTTTAATCACAAATGGAGTGTTGCACATACTTTTTATAGAGACCAACTACTCATACAGTCATAGGCCATATTAATAACCGGAAGGAACCAATATGATTGCTCAACAGAACCTTTCCATCATTCATGGTCATCATGTTTCTTATAAATCTTATTTTGAACCACTTTGATTCAATCATTATATAGCTCACCAAAAACCTTTTCTGCAAGGAATCTGTTTTTTTTTTTTAATCTCATTCTGGCAACACTACAGACTTCACCATTTTATCAGCATACATGCTCCGGTTTGTCCGCATCAATCCACCGCATGTGCATTCCTGTTTTATAGTGAGGCGCATGTATCCGTCTGCTAGAGAAATGATTACCTACAGTTGAGATTTCTGACG